CTGTCAGACATATCTGGGGTGTCCGACCTACCCGTTGGTCCTAACGACCGATTCAGGGACTAGTCCCCTCCTACTGATATTATATCACATAACATAGTAAACTAGCTTAGTCACATATCAAGCAAACTAGCATACTCGCATATCAAGCAATAGCAGACTAGACAATTATCACAAAGACAATCATCTCAGCTAAACAACTACTAGTGGGCCGGCCTTGGTGCCTTAGACCCACTTCTACTGGAAGGTAACTCACCTCGATGTCGTGTAGTGTCTGAACTGTCCTCTGTGTGAAGGTCGGCTCTACTCGACTCCTCAATCCCTACACGACAACCTTCGAGTCATCAAACCGAACATACAACCGTAACCAGGGTCAATACCAAAACCAGGCAAAGTCAACATTGGTCAAAGTCAACACCCAGTTGACCTGACTCGCCGAGTTGGTCTACCAACTCGTCGAGTCCATACTCCACTAATCCGATCCAACCCCGACTCCACTCGTCGAGTCTAGCAAGAACTCGACGGGTTCTCCTTCATTCAACCCATCGAGACCATCTTCATCCGACTCGCCGAGTTCTTCCTTGAACTCGTCGAGTTCACCTCCCTCATAAGAATGTGTCCGGACTACGGCTCGCCGAGTTGTATGAACAACTCGTCGAATCCATCTTCAAAGATTGGGAGATTGCCTTGGACTCGCCGAGTCTGTTCATACACTCGTCGAGTCCCATGATTCCCAGGTCCCTTTTCGTGTCTAAACATCCACGGGACTTCCTCCCTAACAACTGGTCCATCCACAGAAAGGATTTGGTGGTCAATACACCTCGACTCGCCGAGTCCCAAGAGCAACTTGTCGAGTCCATCCTTGACCAACACTATACAGTCGATTTAAATGGGTCTTAACACACCAAAACCATAGATCTGGCCTCCTAATGTCCATTTTACACGTAAAGCTCCAAACTTGGAGCACATGCATGGGGCTTTGGCTCTAAAAGCCATAAAAGGTGCTCTACAAGGTGCATGGGACTCTCATAGCCATAAAGTTGGCACCTTTATGCCATGAGACCCTTCCAATGACTCAGATCTGAAGTCAAGACCTCATATAACACTCCACAAATCCAAATATGGTTTGGAAAGCCCTAAATGTGCCCAAAACCCAACTCCAAAGATGAATAAACACATAGAAGACCAAGACAGGGGCATTTTACCTTGATTGAGCTGAAAATGAAACTAGATCCCTGAATCTCTAAGCCCCAACTCGAACTCTCAAGCTTCTTTCTTCTTCTCCAAGCTACACAAACCACCAAATGTACCAAAATGGCCTTAGAACACACAAAAACGACTAGGGTTTCGTTACACAGCTTTCTGGGAGTGGTAAGGGCGATGGAGGCTGAGATAAGGTGTTTAAATAGGGTGCAAACCCTTAGATTTAGGGTTTCACTCAACCAGCACCTACTCTCCAAGTTAGTATCCCGACTCGTCGAGTAGATCACTTAAACTGTCCGCGGATCTCGACTCTACTCGACGAGTCGGGCCTCCAACTCGTCGAGTCCCAGAGAAAAAACACTAGAAATGCTTGAATTAACTGCGTACCAGGAATCGGGTGTTACAGGCCAACATGGGTGTACGGCCGTACACTCATGTGTACGGCCGTACACTCCCTTGGATGGAGTGTTCGACTTGATTTCAACGCGAAGAACTTACGCAACTCAATCCTATACCCAATGCTTGAATGTACTGAGCTTTGAACCCTTAAACAGACTCTAAACAAGGCTAAAAGATAGCAGAAACGGGTCTGACACTCGGTTGAATTGAATGGCTGGACTTATAAGGCAAAAAATTTTGGGTTGTCACATCTTCAAATGGTTTTATTTAGATAAAACTACATTACACTATTTTCCAGTACAATACTGTTTACATTTCTGGAAACATGCATTCAAATGGTTTTATATATGAATAAAACTACATTATACTATTTCAGAGTATAACAATACTAATACATTTTCAGTCTTAGGGTGTTTAAGACTACATTACATTTAAAAGAAAATATTGGATTTTCTGGAAGAACACACTATCATTTTCAAAGAACAAAGACATATCTTTCTCATTCAAAATATTTATGAACTCATCAACTTAAATGTTGACACTTTTTCAAAACCACTTGTATTCTCAGGAAATCGGTAGACAGGTACCCACACAGGTTTTGTGAAGACGGAGCTTAGCAGTGTTATGTCTTATATTTTTGTCGTACGTTTTTGGAGTCAAACAAACAATGATTCGAACTCAATGTAAATATTAAATTATCAATATGATGGTTGTAATGCTTTAATCTCTATTATTCAGTTGTTATGATACTGTAAATGAAAGTCATCCACCCCAGACGTTTCCGCCGTTTTACTCGGTTTGGGGGTGTGACACCGTTATCCGCTACCAGCTAGTTTTGCCAAAGTGAGACAATTGTCCATATCTACCTTCTCTTACTCATTCCAAATTTGAAGCTATTTTTCAAATTGATTTGTTTTAAAATTTTGGTGATTTTGACCTTTTGTCATGCTAATTCAACTCATATTGACTGTGTATCATAACATATTCTTAATGTATCCAACGTTATCTACAAAGTTTGCATATTCACGAGAATATTTTAGCTTCGGTATTAATTGGATTTTGGCAATCTTGTATCTTAGTTTGAGTATTCGTTCCAAAACTGTACCTAATTTTTCTTCAATTAATGGCATCTTTTCACGTTTTAAGAAAGGGTATCGCCTGTTGGGTTTTACAAATATTATACAATATAATGACTTATTTTGTTATTTCGAAGATTATTTAATTTTGGACTTTTTACATCATATCATAATTTATACACCACCAGCAAAACCAAACCAAACCCAATCTCTCTCTAACTATACGCACTACACCGGGACGACACCGTTCTCTGCCACACTCCTCCGTCTGTTGCTCTTCTCACAACGTCTGTTCCACTGCATAGGGTTTCGTTTCCTTCATCGGATCTGAGTTTCGACAAACATAAATCAACTCCCCTTGTCTGATCTGTTTCTCTCTCATTCAAACGATACCACCAGATCGAGCGCTTTGTTTTGGTTGTTGGGCTATACTTTTGGATCGGATTACGGCCGGGCATTTTCATTATCAGATGGGAATGCCCGAACGATGAGCAAACACGGCCACCAAGACGAAGAAGAAGATAACAACGAGTGTTTCTACGAGTCGCTTGATCGCTTACTTTCTTCAACCACTTGCTCTTCTTCATCCTCTTGTTCGGACAACGAAGAGGAAGATGATGACGTAACTCTAGGTGATCAGAATTGCAGTGGTGTTTCTGATTATAATGCTTTGGTACGCCCCTTGCCTATCCCTAAATTTCCAATGGGCGTTGCTAACAATTACGATGTCTGGATCTCACGTCCCTCGTCGGTTGATGAACGCCGTATGCGGTTGCTGCGGCAGATGGGACTCAGCCGCGACTCTTCCTTCTTCCGACATAAGCCCTCTATGTTCTCCTCACCAGCCACCGCCGTTACAAAGTTCGGTAAGTATGGCTTCGCGCATCAGGTTCCTTCTAACCCTGGCATCATTCGATCAAAGTCTGCTGATCCTGAACACTGTAGTTCTAGTTCTCATTTGGATTCCTATCAAAAAATTCTTTCTAATAATTCATGTTCGTCGCCTGTTGCTGATACCTTACCAATGGAAACTGTAATTAACAACGTCGATAACCATGTCTTAATTGAATCGCGAAACCGCAGTGGATCACCTGTTGTCAGTGCTAATACTGAGTTGCCTAATAAGCCGCCGGCGGTGAAACTAATTGAGCGGAGTGAAGAGATTATCAAATGCAATGATTGTTCCACCACGAATATGAACTTCGATATTAGTAGCACCAACGGTGAAGTAGCAGACGTGGATTTGGATTCCATTAGGTCTAGCAATGATGCAGTGTGCACAATTAAAAATCTAGATAACGGGAAGGAGTTTGTGGTAGATGAAGTTAGAGAGGATGGAATGTGGGAAAAGCTGAAGGAAGTTGGAACAGGGAGGCACTTAACTATGGAAGAATTCGAAATCTGTGTTGGCCATTCACCTATTGTTCAGGAGTTAATGAGAAGACAGAATGTAGAAGCAGGCAATAACGATTCACCTGACAACAACAGCAGTGGGAATGGATCTAAAACCAAAAAGAAAGGAAGTTGGTTGAAGAGTATCAAGAATGTAGCAAGTTCAGTTACAGGTCATAAGGAGAAACGAAGCAGTGATGAGAGAGATACATCATCAGAAAAAGGTGGAAGAAGATCAAGCTCTGCAACTGATGATAGCCAGGATGTTTCTGTTTCTGCTTCTGCTTCTGCTTCTGCTTCTTTTCATGGTCCAGAAAGAGTCCGTGTTAGACAATATGGGAAATCTTGTAAAGATGTAACAGCTCTTTACAAAACCCAAGAGATACAAGCTCACAATGGATCAATCTGGACAATCAAATTCAGCTTAGATGGAAAATATCTGGCTTCTGCTGGTGAAGACTGTCTGATTCATGTCTGGAAAGTTGTGTCCTCAGATAGAAAAGGTGATCTTTTATTTGATAAACAACAGGAAGATGTGAATATAAACGTGTTGTTATTATCCAACGGGTCACCAGAACCAGGGTTTGGATCACCAAATAGTCAACTGGAAAAGAAGAAAAGAGGAAGGTTATCAATAAGCAGAAAGTCAGCAACTTTGGATCATATTGTAATGCCAGAAACCATTTTCAATCTATCAGAAAAACCAGTATGTTCATTAAAAGGACATCTGGATGATGTTCTTGATCTCTCCTGGTCAAAATCACACCATTTGCTGTCATCTTCAATGGACAAAACCGTGCGCTTGTGGCAGTTGTCTAGCAAGTCATGTTTGAAGATCTTTTCACACAATGACTATGGTAAGTAAATACATAAAAACAAGTAAGTTTATATATGTATATATCTCTCTTTATGAATTATGATTACTAAGGGTGTATCTTTTTAAATACAGTGACTTGCATCCAGTTCAATCCTGTTGATGAGAGATACTTCATTAGTGGATCACTTGATTCCAAAGTCCGGATTTGGAGTATTCCTGATCATCAAGTCGTTGATTGGAATGATATGCATGAAATGGTCACTGCTGCTTGCTATACACCAGACGGTCAGGTTGACCTACAAAGTTGACCAAAATTTTATTTTTTTTATGGATTTTTTTTTGTCTAACAAATATTTTTCTTGATTCATGAAGGCTGCATTAGTTGGTTCCTACAAAGGGAGCTGCTGTTTATACGACACAACTGGTACTTATCTTTCTCTTTGTATTTTTTTTTTTTCCTGTTTCAAGTGTTGGTAACTTTTATTTATTTTTCAGAAAATAAATTACAACAGAAAAGTCAGATTAACCTGCAGAACAAAAAGAAGTCGCGCCATAAAAAGATCACCGGTTTTCAGGTGAAAATTAAGAGTTATAATAACACCTTTCGGTTGTATCATGTTGAAATGACCAAAATACCCTTTACAGTTTGCTCCAGGTACTGCATCAGAAGTGCTAATCACATCAGCAGATTCTCGTATTCGTGTTGTTGTCGATGGTATCGACTTGGTTCACAAATTCAAAGGTTGGATTTGGATTCGGATTCGGATTCAGAGACTTGATACTTTTACCCTTGGTTTTCATTTTAATTACTAAATTGCCACTCGGTTGTTGCAGGGTTCCGGAACACAAACAGGCAAATCTCGGCCTCTGTGACATCAAACGGGAAATACGTGGTGTGTGCCAGCGAGGATTCACAGGTGTATGTCTGGAAACACGAAAGCAATTCCAGGCCTAGTAGAAAAAAAGGCGTGACAGTTACTCGATCTTATGAGCACTTTAACTGTCGAGATGTATCGGTTGCAATCCCGTGGCCTGGTATGACAGACTGTGGTCCCCATGATTTGTTTTTTCATGGGGACCACTTGGATGAGGTGGCAACTGGTAACCAGTTGCCACCTCATCCACCAACACCAGAAGATCAAACAAATGGAAAAGAAAGCCCGTTTCATGGTATTATTTCTAGTGCAAGCAACGGTTATTTTTTCGATCGGTTTTCCGCCACATGGCCTGAGGAAAAACTTGTTAGTAGACATTCGAGTGCGGATTTTACAAACGGGTTGAGTGTGAGTAGTAAGTCGGGGTGGGGTATGGTGATTGTGACAGCTGGCCTTCGTGGGGAGATTAGAACATTCCAGAATTTTGGATTGCCTGTTCGATTATAGAGTTTTGTTATTGGGAAATTTGTACATAAATGTTTCCATGATTTGTAATATTAGCATATAGATTTAGATGGTGCAGGAAAGAATTAGGGCTGATCAAGAGAAGAGAAAAAAAGAAAAGGAAAAAACAACACAGTTTTTGTTTTTGGTTTAGTAAGGAAAATGTAGAGTTAACATGATGACTAAAGTAAAAAGAAGATTGGAATTACAGAGGTAAATTGTCTATTTTGCCAATTCTCTCATTCATGGTTCGTGTGTGTACTTGTTTGTCTGTTTATCAGTTTTGATCGATTCAACCAATCTTTCCAACGAATCTAAAAAAATTTTGGTTTATAAAGTTGTTAGAGGTGCCCAAAAAGGCCCGGTTATGGAGTTTGAGCCTGAGCCCAAGCCCGACCACTAACCTGTTAGAAAGGTGCATGTGCTATTGTAATGGCATGTTGGTTATATCGTATAGAAATCGGACCAACCGACCAATTAAGGGTCTAGGACATAGAGGGTTCCCGGGTGCCACCTCGGCAACCACTCGATTTCATCTTATTGGGGTAAAAAAATTTAAAACTTTATTTTTATATTAGGTTGGAAAAAAATGTCCCTACAACTAGAAATTCCTTCGTCCGTCTCTGTCTTGATGCGTCTCAATGCCCTGTTAAAGTCATTGTTTTAAAACTCAGGTCTAATTGGTTGGACTATGAACCGGTAAAGAGACCGGGTCAACTAAGAGCAAGTCTTTGCCAATTTGTGAGGTTGAACTGCTAACCTGACACGTTACAAAAATCTGGATTAAACCTAATAAAAAAACAATATCACGACCTCACATATTTATATATATCTTCTATTACTTTCAATATGATTTCACAAATATATAACTTATATCTTAAAATAATGTTGTGTAACAACACATCAAACAATTTTGACTTAATATTCGATTGTTTTATTTTTCGATTTACTATTTCATATGCCCTAGCCCATTATTCTTGTTCAGTGAAACATCAATATTTTCATGTTAAGTAAAAACCTTATTAGATTTATATATTTTATTTTAGTAAACATTAAAGATTTGATGTATTCAAAATGTTAGCTACTTGGATTCAAAGTCTTAGGAGGTTGATGGACTCAACCTGTAATTATTCTCATATATATTTCGAACTTCAAATCATGCTAACATTCAATAATAAAGTCTTTTACTTTTTGAATTAATATTTTAATTTTTTTTGTCTTGTTAAAAAAGACCAAAATAAACACTCATATTTTGAAAGATTTTCAATAGTATGTGAAGGGCAACTAGGAAATACATCATTATGCACTGCAGCTATAGAATACTCAATGCATATTCCGAAAATCAAATTGACTTGCTCTCGTTCGTTACATTGAGTCAACTAAAAAACTGGATTTTAAAACATTGGTTAAAAACTTAAAATCGATAGGTTCATTGATTTGAATATAAAACTTGTTAACAGTTTTATAACAAGTAATACTGTATTAAATAAAAATTTAAAAGTTGGTAAGAAAGACCATGGTCCAATGTATCAAACTTGATTATTTCGATTACTAGTTTTCTAGACCAGACCATTTAGATTTTATAATAGTAGATTTTATTTATAATAGTAGTGAACATGTGAGTCACCGCTCTTCCAAAATCCTACTTGGACCGGTAGTGAGAACCCGATCTTCAGAAGCTAATTGGCAAGAAGGTTCGACTTAACCGGAGCGGATCGCAACTCAAGCACAACTAGAGTTCACTCACCCAGACGCACAATGTCACAACTAGCACTTTAGCTAGGAAATTATATTCTCGTGTAATCATTCAACTATTGTAAAACATATACTCTAAGTAAATATCATCAATGCTCATTTAAATTCACCTTTCATGTTCAACAAAGAGTCCGAGAACCCTAAGAATCCCGGTTTAAGTCTATATTGGACTAAGATTTCCTTATTGGGCCTAATGGACCAATAAGTATCCAATTCAACTATTTTGGGCTTGGAAACCCTATTTGGATTCTAAATGGACCCAATTCCCAAATCTATAACATTTTGGACCATTTGGGCCTAGAATGATTCATTCTAACCCTAATGGGCCTTATTGGGCTATAGTGTCACAACTGACATTTTAGCTAGGAAATTCTATTCCTGTTTAACCATTCAAATATTGTAAAACATATACTCTAAGTAAATCTCACTCAATGCTCATTTAGATTCACCATTCATGTTCATCAAAGAGTCTGAAGCCCTAAGATCCATGGTTTAAGTCCATATTGGACTAGGAGTTCCTTATTGGGCCTAATGGACCAATAAGCACCCAATTCAACCTTATTGGACTTAGAAGCCCTAATTGGATCCTAATTGGACCCAAATTCATAAATCTAAAACATTTTGGACCATTTGGGCCTAGAATGATTCATTCCAACCCTAATGGTCTTTATTGGGCCATAACTAATCCAATTAACCTTAGTGAGCCATAAGCCCATTCTTTTATTCTATTTGGGCCGTAAATGCTTCCAAAGGCCCAATGGGCCGAAAAAGTTATGTTTAGAACCCAAATATCCTAACTAAAGTATATGGGCCCAAACTACTCCACCCTTTCTTCTTGGCCCAAAATCTCGGCCCATGTGTAGAACAAAAAAAAAGAGAGAAAAGAAGTGTAATGGGGGGGGGGGTTGACTTGGAGATGTCACCTCCATTTATACATCATGTATCCATGCAAGGACCACCATATATCCATGCTAGTCACCTCACCTCTCTCTCTCTCTCTCTCTCTCTCTCCTCTCTCTTCTTCTACTCTCGGCCGAGGATACACACACACACACTCCAATTGCAAATTTCTCTCCAACATTCACAAAAACACTCCTCCTTTCCTCTCTAATTTTCGAGATCTAGAGCATCTTCAAGAAGGTTTCCATCACCAAAAATCATTATTCTTGGTAAGTCTTTACATATCCAAGTTACATAACTTCTTTCTCATGTTAGATCACTCCTCCTAAACAAGCTTTTGGTGATCATACTCCTAGAAAACTTCTTAAGTTCGAGATCCACTCAAGAAAGCTTGCTAGGATCAAAAATCTTCTTCATTTCTTCTTCAAAAACTGAAACATCAAGCAAAGGTGAGTTCATATCCCCTTGTTTTCGGTTTTCATATGATTTTTGGGGGAGAATGCAAGTAAAATGTGTAGATCTATGTGTTATATGCATGTTTTGTGTGAATTCTTAGTTTATTTGGTAAAAATGTGTTAGATCTTAGTGAATCTCAAAATTTTAAGTATTATGTAGCAAAGATCCATGAACTACAACATTATATACATCATATTAACAAGCCAAAAGTGATTACATGTTTAAGATACAAAAGTTTTCAACAAAAACCTTGTTAAAGGTCAAAATTGTCAAGAAAACAAAAGATAAGGGTAAAAAGTGGCATTTATGTTTTTATAAGGGACAAACAGGTCCTACATGTATAAAAAGGTATTTTTTATGTTAAACATACTTTAAAAAGGGCCAAAAATGCAAATTTGAGCTTAATGGGTCAAAACCTTTGGGCCTCACGATTTTGGGCCCAGTTTTGCGAAAACATGAAGTTTTGGGATTTAAAAATGTTATTTGGCCAAAGTTTGAGTCATAAATGTAAATAAACCAAATTTAGGGGTGAAAATAACATTTATTTTCAAATTGGACCAAAAATGGAAATTTTTCCAAAATTGGGACGAAAGTGTAAATTTTTACAACAAGGGGCTGAAAATGTACTTTTCTGTAAAACAGGGTTCTAAATGTGAAAATGTAACTTTTTGGGCTAAATCCGTGAAATTCCAAACATTTGGGACAAAATTACAATTTTTTATAAATTATGGACTAAAGTGTCATTTTTACAAAACTTTGGGCCTTAATTAAAATTGGAGGATTATTGGCTAAAAATGTCATTTTTACAAATGAAAGCTTATTTTCATCAATCTAGTAAACCTCAAGCTAAAACAAACAACGGCATAAAAACAAACGAACGAAACACGTCGATAACTATTTATTGGGCCTAATATTCACATTACTTGGCCATTGGGCCCTAGGGCCCAATTAAGTGTGTATTGAGCCCAATGTTTTTCCATGACATGTTTATTGGGTTTTGCGACCCACTTACATGTTAATTTGAGCCAAAGTTATGGATTACATGTTTATTGGGCTTTTGTGGCCCATTTACATGCCTATTGGGCCTAAATTACCCTT